TGGTGATTTTCCTGTGGACTCTGATTGGTTATCTAGATTACTGGTGATCTTCCTGTGGACTCTGATTGGTTATCTAGATTACTGGTGATCTTTCTATGGACTCTGACTGAGTATCTAGATTGCTAACAGTTTTTCACCCAGCTTCAAGACGATGTTTTGATTTCTTGCGCTTATGAATCATTAATAAGTTTGAGYAGAGAAAAAACTTGAAAAAGTTTCGTTTTTTTTCTTTTCCTTTAGACTCATGCAAGTCGAGGTTCTTACTGAATCGGTGGGAATGGCTCACGTGATCAATGTCCCAACAAGTTAAAAAGCTAAGTAAAAAATAAACTTAGGTTCAGTCAGACGTCTCAAACTGAACCTTAGCTAAAAATTTTCCCTTACCATGCAACTAAAGAGGGGGAAATGGACATTTCGGACAATATGCGGTTTCTTGCGGTTTTAGTTCCATGGAATGTGTGGATTTTGAACATTTTGAATTTTTTTCGACTTTCTTTGCGTATTTCGGTGTTGGCGTTTTCTTTAGAGAAGACAAGACAAGACAACGTATTTTATTGGCTCCGTATAAACATATTTACATTGGATTAATTGCTGCCAATAAAAATATATAATAAGTCCATAAACTAATATATATTGATAGTTCTTGTTTATCAGTAGTATCAGCGATCGCCGCCCATCGATCTATATATATATAGAGGATATTACATGGGCACGCAGAGATACGAATTTTATCTTCGAGTGTTCAATTGATATCTCACGAGTGAGCGCAGCGAACGAGTGAGATATCTAAATTGAACACGAGAAGATAAAATTCGTATTTCCAGGCGGCCATGTAATGTTCTGTTTATTATATAGATATCGATGAAACTTAAATAAAACAAAAGCTCAAAAATTCTTTATTAAAATACGTTACTATGTCAACAGCAATATCTTCACGTGTGAAAGATATGGTATCTTCCACTGGTGAAAGATATCAAGTTTTCGACACTAGAGAGAACCTGGTATTTCATCGATATCTATATAATAAAATGTCTTTTCCTTTTTTCACCAAAATATTAATAAGTTAAATTTGTCAAAGATTTTATTGCTTTAGATTATCCTGTATATATTTATTTATATATATTTATTTTTTGGGTTTATGATAGAATTGAATTTCTCTTTATGTCAGTTTGTTTTTCATGCGAATTTGCGGTTTTTAGCACCCCCCCCCCCCTCCCATGTCCTTTTCACTAAGTTTAGATCATATTGTTACTACAACACTTTTACATTCGCTTTTACTAACTAATATGACGGGAAGCGCAAGATCAGTCTTACCTCAGGATTCTTGATGCTCCAGCAACAAGCGAGACCACCCTTTTGTCCTGAATATGAAAACTCGCCATACCCAACAGCAAGTATGTCCTAGAACAGAACAAAGGAGAATAAACTTTTCGCACCATAGTAGAGTATTTGATACTCTTATTGACACTAAACACAACTTAGACTACATACCAGGTTTTTCTTGTTCCATGCCATACAGCTAACATTATTACCCTTGGTTAGACTACATGAATACGACCACAACTTGTTAAGTCTTGGTCCAAGCTCTGCTAAAGTAACTGAAGCACTTTCTTCTTCCTTCTCTGCATCGATGTCTAAAAAAGATATTCTTCTATTCAGCCTGTGCATGGTTTTTATCCAATCACTTTATATATGAAACAAATGTGTCGTAGTAGATAATTTAATCACCGTAAGTACGAAAGTTAGTCGGACTGACGTTTCGGACGTTAGTCCTTCGTTGACTCCGACGAACGACTAACGTCCGAAACGTCAGTCCGACTAACTTTCGTACTTACGGTGATTAAATTATCTACTACGACACATTTGTTTCAACTAAAGAAACACCGACGCTAGTTCCAAAACTAGTCGTTATCTACTTTATATATAGACATACATGGGTACAATGAGGGTTAACAAGTTTGGAATATGTCAGTGTATAAGGCGTAAATGATGGATATATTAGAAGAAAGTTGAGCATCCTATCAAAAGATCTTACGTATTGCTATACCTATTTGACTTTTTCGGACGTTAATCCTTCATCAAAATGAGACGTCATGGAGGTCAGGTTTGTTAGTCATAATTCCGTCAGAGCCAAGCTCTGTTGTGCTTACCCCTTCCATGATAGCTTAGGAACTTAGATAATTGTCATGGATGAAGTTATGTAAATAGTTCAATAAAATTCGACCTGATTAAGTAGCTACTGCAATCCTGGACAAATTCCTTCCAGGATTCTACAACCACACACAACAAAACGTTGGATTAGCAGCCTACAAACCTTTAACAACATCCAGAGCTCTGTACTGCGCCTGACGAGGCTGGTAAATGTTCTGTGCGATGGCTCTCTCCATCAGGAAAAGATTGCTCTTCATACTATCAGACTATCATTGACAAACAAGTGCAATTAGAAACAGCTACACTAGGGTGATAACAAGATACTATACATTTTCACATGTCAAAAGCAAAAAGACAAATTTAAGATATAAAGGACATCTCTATATTACGGCCACCTCTATATTACGGACACCTCYATATTACGAACACCTCTATATTACGGCCACCTCTATATTACGGCCACCTCTACATTACGGACACCCCCATATTACGGCCACCTCTATACTACGGACAACCCTATATTACGGCCACCTCTATATTACGAACAGCTCTATATTACGGACACCTCTATACTACGGACACCTCTATATTACGAATACCTCTATATTACGGTCACCTCTATACTACGGACACCTCTATATTA